TTTGGGGGAAAACTTTTTTTTACCCGCGACATTTGCCGACACCCACACCCACCACCCACGACCTCTAACCACTACCCAAGACCCACGACATTTAGCTACAATCAAAAAGTTTGGGCCGCACGCTGAAATTGTTTTAGGAGTTATGATGGACGCACGGCGTCCGTCATCGGACGAAATAAATATACCCTGGCTAAGTTAAAGAACGTTTTTGTTTTGTCTACACACCTATTGTGCAGAAAACTCTAAAATAAATGTTGTTACGACAACGTAGCAATTTGGTTTAAGTAAAGTTCCACGGCACCACTAACATCCAAACGCCCCAGGCGGGAACTAACTTAAAGATGAAGGCTTCATCTTCAAGTCTGTTGGTGGGAGCCGTTGTTGATTGTTCAAAAAAAAAAAAAAAACATGATACATGACTTAGTTAACATTTTCTTCAATTAAACCATTTGCCTTAAATTCTGCATTTTGGAGCAAATTAGAGCCACCGTATTGTTCATGGCTATTGTAATTTTGCCGCGGAGCGAGCGAGTAGCAACATTATCAATATATAAGGAGGGACGAATTCTCGAATTCATCACTTTTTACCGGAATGCATTGCATTCTGAACCAGAGTGCACTGCACCACTTACGAGAATGCATTGCGCCACGAACAACTCAAATAAAAGCACAAGGAAGTTCGGTGGGTGACTCAGGCGTGCATCGTTCGCTGCTTAGACTCAGAGTTTTCTTTGTGGCAAATTTTCTACAGCATGGTTAAAGGTCTTACCAAATTTAAGACACGCAGGAGTCTTTCAGATGAGTGCGATGGTTAATTTGGGTGTTGGATTTCAATTCACAAGCCTTTGACTCGTCCAGGCGTTAAACTTGACGAGAAGACTCGGAGCATTTGCTCTTCGACCGCCCACACGCGCCTGAGGACATACAAATTCCAGCTTGCTAGAAGGTGATGTGAAAGTGAGAAATCGTCATGCCATGCTAATCTTAAGAACCTGTATGAGCCGAAAATGGATGTCATTTTGATCATTAGCTTCAAAATAAAGTTACTAAATAACAGTGGAAATCGAGATAACAAAACATATGTTTTGCGTCCTACATATACTTTGCAGACGAGGACTTGTATCAGCGTTTTCTAAAGCATAATTATGTTCTTTCATTCATTCATTGCCATGGAATGAGTTTACATTGTTTTCTTACTTTCTTTTGTTTTCTTTCTTAGCTAAGTTGGTTAATGTTGCTCGATCATCTTTAAACGGCATTTGCCGACGGAAGTTTGATGGAAAAGGCATCAGGTAAATTAAAGACCTTTCCCTGAAAGTCTGTAGTTTAGTAGTAAGGTGTTGTCGCGTCAAGCAGAAGGTGCCGGTTTTACTCAGTACTTTATCTTTTTTTCCTTCTTTCTTTTTTGTTTTCGGTTTTTTTGTGTTGTTGTTTTCTATAAATATATACCTAAATAACTGTTATTTAATAAAGTACAATGAACAGCAAGAAAAGTATCGTGATTTCAGAGAAAAGATAGAACGCCGTATTTTAAATATATGGATAAAACAATTTGAATTTCTATCATTTCCTACAATTTACTGTGGGAAAACCAGAGTTGATAACCATTTGATCAGTTTCTAAACAACTTTCCCAGTCTTTCTTTAGACTGATAGAAATAATTACTTTCCAACATGTAAATTGGACATTCAATGTCATTTTCGATTATATTAAGTCTCACGCAAGCAGATGGATGTCAGTAACAACAGAATGTGCCGCAGCAATATACCTTTAAGATACCCTAGTTTCTATAAATAACAAAAGATCGGTGTTTTTGTGTTAGGATTTTGTTTATCCTTTTACTGATTAAGTGGAGTGAAATGGATCCGAATGTGAAGCCACAGACCTTGGTTGAGACTTTTGACCAAGCCAACTCCAATTCTATCCGGACCATATGTAGCTCTCATAACTTTGGTTATCCTGTGTCGACATGCACAGCCCTATACTGCAAACTCCTTTACGAAGGACCATGTCAGACGAGAGATTGAGCTCTCTTGCAATTCTGCATATGAGCACAGGGAAGTAATTGATATTGATGGCATTATAACAGAGTTTGTCCGTCTGAAGGGTACACATCTCGCCCTTTGCTAGTAACCTCCTCGATGGCGTCACTGTTTTACCCTTTTTTGCTGTACAAACTGTACCTTACCGATAACACTGGAGATGGTTAAAATAAACAGCTAATTACCGCATTTTCCTACTGAAAATGTCCTGCAGAAACCGCAGGCGATGGCATTTCCGAGACCCTAAATATAAAAATTAAATTTTCTGGATATCATGCCTCCAATGTCAAAATCTTACGCTACGCTCCTGACTACCGCTATCTTATAGCTTATGAAATCAATGTCCAAGGATCAGAGAAAAACGGACTTGGTCCAGAAGGGATTGGAGGTGGGGGGTCCAAGGGGAAGGGGGTACAATTTTCATTTGAGGGGGTATACACCACACTTTTCTGAAAAACCCCGCCCCCCTGGACATAATAAACGATCGGTCCCTAAAATTACATCGGTTATACAAACAGATTGAGTGGGCTGCCTGTGGTGGAACCAGCGGCAAAATAACATTTACCCACAGCATAATTTACCCGCTAGAAAGAAAAAATTATGAGGTAAAAGTCGTCCAGTCCTACAGACCATGTTAATTCGGGTCAGTAAATCACTATCCGTGAAAACCTAACATCCTGAAAACAACGCTTGACAAAACATAGCGGGAATTGCCCCAGAGGTCAATTGCTGTCAGAAACAAAAAGCACAGGAAATGACCTCTAAATGTGAGACAAACAGCAATGATAAGATTTACTCAGTTTGAAAAGTTTGGAATCCTCGACTATATAATCTATCCACTAGAAAGAGAATAATTAGAACATGAAACGGCAGTACCCTGCTCCGCATCCGTCGCTTGTTCCAATGTCCCGACTTCGTCTCCACCCTGCGGCGCTCTTTTGAATCCATCCTTCGTTCAGATGCCCCGCACCTGTCCCTATCATGCGGCGCTCTTTTGAAACCAATGAATTTTTAATTCTCAGTTTTTTTCGGGTGGCCCATGAGGTGGCCCACAGGTAGCCCATGGGCTAGCCCATGGGCCCAGGCCCAGGTTTTGTTTACACCCCGACTTATTTAGGGTCATAAAGTGTAAAGAGAGAATTTTTGAATGTGCAGTCCATTCATTCCTACCTGGATCGGGAATCCCAAAAATACGAGCGTGCTCGGTACAAATAAGCGTGCGTGTAATAAAATTAATGCAGTTTTCAAAACTACGGAATACCAGGCCATGTTAACTGGATTTTAATTCAATAAAGAACAAAATTTGCAACGCCTTGCAACGCAAACAGCCCTCCAACGTAAGGATTACACAACTCTCAGCTCCGATAGCTCTGAACATAACAAAGTCAGTCAGCGCCTGGTTTGTTCCGTAACTAGTCTAGACTTTCAACGTCCGAGCACTCGAACTTAAAAGTTGGGCGCTCGACAGGAATCTTAAAAAATCGCTAGCAAATTTATTCTAGGTTTTGAAAACATTTTTTGTAGGAACCCAAAAATGCTACATACCTGCTGAAAACGATAACTTGAGAGAGGTGACTCCTTAATCTGCGCCCTCGCCCCCTTTGCTCGACTTTTCCACAGAATTTCTCTCTCCAGTCACTATTGAAGCTACCACCTATTCGCTTGTTGGATTAAGTCACTCTTTTCCTTTAATTTCGCAAAGTTTTTGAGGAATATAACTGAGCACTAAATCCGCTAAGGCTCAAATAAGAGTAGTAAATGAGTTTCTTAATTCGTATTGTCGGCACCAGAAGCTATTATTGATGACGTCATCGAGTATCCAGAAATGGTTACGGCCCGGACCAGGTGCCCATCTATCGATTTCTCAATCGATAAATCGATAAGATAAGAACCGGTAAATCTGATTTGACTCATATATCGATTGAGTCGATCAATTGGTAGAAATCGTTTCTGTTATCGATTTATCTTGATTTTTTACTGATTTCATCAATTCATATCGGAAGAAACATCTGTTCATCAAAAAAATTAAAACTGAATTCATGCAACCAGTAAATATATTGACAACTGAGTGTCAATTGAAAGTCAAAGAATCAAATATTTATCACTACATTGTTTATCAAACGTTATCTATAAAATTCGTTAGCAATCAAGTGATTTTTGTCGATTGATATTTATTGATTGTTACTCGTGGATGTGTTTTGTTAGCGGCTGTTCTATCTAACCGTCTTGCCAAAAACAACAAAGGCGGACTTCGGTTATAAATCGTTAAAATCATAAAAAATCGATATTATCTATTTGAACCATTTTCTGTTATCAATCGATAAAAATCGCTTGATTGCTACCGATTTTTATCGATTGACTACTCTGGGATCAGAGTAATGGCACCTTTAAGGTCAAAGCTGTTGACACAACCAGATTTGGCTCCTTTTGGGAAGTTTCAACACTGTTTCAAATCAGTGTCAACGCCCCGAATAAAACGTAAGTCAGTTTTGGGGTTTAAAAGTGACCAAGCCGTAAAATCAGCAACGAGGGAGGGTGGTAATCCTATGTATTTCAGCTAGGTGTGTGGCCTGACCTTATTTAAGGATGAGACTTGAAACGAAAATTGATATCCCGGTTTAAGGTCCAAACCCGAAAATTGACACCTTATTTCAGGGAAAAACAAAGATTTCAAAGTCAGCACATAAAACTTCATTAAATCGCTTTCAGAATACTCTAAAGGATAAAAATTTACGTTCTTGGATTTAAGCTGATACAATTTAGGTACCGCCTATCTAACGATCACACCAGGAACACAACGCCAACAAGAGCACAATGATACTCTGTTTAAAGGTCGAGACCCTCAGCGGCACATGCCTACCTAGCCAATATATGGGATGACCCCCCCTCAACACGGTACCAGCATTTGAATCCTTTTTTTTTTTAGACAAAGATACACCACCTGGTGGCAACGTAATCATGCCAAATACCACAGACCCACCACTCACTGGATGGGAACCAGAAGTCAAGATGATGGCCATCCCTTTGTACAGTATCACCATGTTTTTATCACTGGTTGGCAATATTCTGGTGATCTATGTCTTGTACAAAAGGCCCGAAACCAGACGTTTAACAAGTTTCATGTATGTAAACCTCGCTGTGGCCGACCTGCTAGTGACTACAGTTGTAATGCCGAAGTCCTTAACAGTCATACTAACGGACGAAAAATGGATAAGTGGACTAACTGGAGAACTGCTACACAAGTTAGTAGTATTTACGTTTTATGTTTCGATTACGGCGTCAGTCTTCTCGTTAAGCGCCATTGCATTTGACTGTTTTCTCAGCATCACAAAGCCAATGCAGAGGTTCCCAAAGTTACGGAATAAGAAAGTCTTTGTACCTTGTATATGGATAAGTTCCATGTGTCTTATGAGCCCTTGGTTGATCATACCTAAAGTGTACGGTTCCTACACTTTCTTTGAGTTTAGTCAACTGGGTGAGTTTGAAGATGCCGTCAGGGGAATATTTCTCTACATGGTAATCAGCATTTATATATTTCCTTTAACTGCAATGAGTTTTCTCTATGGAGTTGTCTGCCTGAAACTTAAATCTCACACTTTGCCTGGCGCGTCCGTGAAACAAGACAATGCGCGTGATCGAGCAAACAAAACCAAACGCCAGATGATAAACATGTCGATAGCAATCGTGGTAGCATTTGGACTTTGCTGGCTTCCCGCGCATGTCTTTCACACGATTCTAGCGAACGATGTGACAGTGCCTCAGAGGTTTCCAGGGTATATAATGTTGCTTTGCTATTGGTGTGGACACGCCAACAGTGCTGTCAATCCATGGATGTTGATCTATTTTAACAAGGGATTCCGAGCCGTGTTCCGGAAGATAATGGTAAGTCCGATATCTCGAAAGTTGTCTTATAATACCATCACATCAAATGCGTCCATAAGGTCGTCCAAACTGGCAGCAGAAAACTTTCAACACAACTTGAGAAAAAGAAATCTACCTTAATTTTCAAGTTCTGTACATGTGTAACGACTGTAAGCGTAACTCTTTACAATGCTCAAGGAGTTAACCTTAACACTGACATGCACTTAATCTTTCTTTTCTTCTCTTTTAAATTCTCAATGATAACGAACCGCTAACGCGAAACAAAGAAATGCGCATAAACATTGACGCGCGGGATCACAGAGGGAGGGGTGTCAGGAGCATTTAGAACATGTCTTCGATGTACTCTACCAGCGCTCCTCTAAATAGTGACCGGTCCCTAGTACAGTTAACTTTCTCTAAGAAGGATACCCTTTAGGACAAACGCTAAGTATCCGTTTAACCCTTCAAGCCCCAATATCCACATGCAAATTCTCCCATGTGATCAAAGCATTTCCTCCTTGGTGCTCAGTTTATTAATTCTCTTAACCTATACCCTTGATAGTGCAAGAGATGGCGCAGCGGTGAGAGCGCTCGCCTCCCACCAATGTGGCCCGGGTTCAAATCCCGGCGTCGACGCCATGTGTGGGCTGCGTTTGTTGTTGGTTCTCTCCTTTGCTCCGTGAGGTTTTTCTCCGGGCACTCCGGTTTTCCCCTAAAAAACCAACATTTCCAAATTCCAATTCGACCACTGAGGAATCAGGTAGACGAAGAACCACTTCGTGGATGTACTACCTCCAAATCATTATTTATTTATTATTTATTTATTTGATAAAGTATGAAAATGTTAAGAGAAAATTGATGTTAGTCACTACTGGGACTTAAAGGGTTAAGAAAGGTGTCCGCAATATAGAGAGGTAGAGGAACATAACAGAAGGCAAGGAGGAAACAACTCTAGCGGTCCGTTTTATAAAGTTGTACTTCTTATAGAGGTGTATTTTAGGAGAGGGTTGTGTACATATACATACATGCCAACCCTCCTGGATTATCCGGGCGTCTCCCGGATATGGCACTGATCTCCCGCTCCCCCGTACGGGTCACCATATATCTCGGATAAAATCATCTTTTGAGCTTTTCTGCGCTTTTATTGCTTGAGATTTAGCCCATTTGTAGCTCAAGACTTGATTTTTTCTTATTCACATCACGGTTTCTGAGGCATTTTTGCACGTATTTAGTCACTGACAAAGATTATTTCTGGCATCAAAGCTATGATTGCGAGTTTTGATAGTATGTACTTCATGTAAGACTTCATATAATGTCCTAAAGCATTCACATTGGGGGCTGGGTCAATTTGTCGGGTGGTTAGTGAAAAAAAAAAGAGAGGCTCCAGATTTTAGATCTCCAGAGGTTGGCATCTCTGCATATACTTTTCCTGCAACGTGCCGAGCAGCCCAAAAATCCCTCTTACGATACGTTAAGACGCTTCCGCTTCCGGTTTGAAATCCTTAAGACTCCATCACGTGATCTTATCTCGCAAGAAGGTCTCTCGAATCCAAATAACAAAAGAGAGATCTGAATACAATATAACTTATAATTTGGTACTGTGAAAAAAGGATATATATTATATAAAAAGGAAGAAACCCTCCTTACCAGGTAACCTTACCATGGCACAGTGCCAGTAAGGCTTTGGATGTGTTAACCAGCCGGTAAGGCCATGAATAAAGAGCGATATACAAACACGTAGACGGAACAGTAGACACAATGATCTCTCCAATCGTCTTCACATACACACTCTTGGCGCCCAATACCGCTGAGCATACGCACCACAGTCCTACAAACAGTAGGATGTCTACGCAATCAGTTAACTCTGTTTTGCTAGCAACGGGTGCGAGATTACTCGGCCATTACATGAAGTACATCGTCAGGTACCGCTAACAATACAATGCAACATTGCTCAAACATGAAGCTGATATCGAGTTTGATTTGAATTGTTTGTTTCAGGCATTTGCTCGGCCCAACTAGCATTAGTGCTGTAAATACTGCCGAGGGTAAATAACAGAATTTGTGTTATTGTTATTATTATTATTATTATTATTATCATTATTAGACCAATTACGCGTGTTTATGCCAGCCAATTATATTCTCTCTTGATTATACGTGAAACGGCCACGACCAAAAGCGCGGAGATACATTCATTAACGGGAAAAAACGAACATTTGGGCATAAATGTTTGTCTTATTTCCCTGTTGACTTTCAAGATCATAGGCGTACGGGCAATTTTCGGCCAGGGGGGGCGATAAACCATTTGCCCAAAAAATTCTTGCAGGTTGCCCAAATTTTTACAAAACAGTCGAGAAGAAACAACGGCCATACGATGCAACAACATAGGCCGTACTGGCATACGAAAGTGCCGCAATACAGTTTTTCAGGGTCAATATATACCTGCCAAGTTTGAGCATAAACTATACGTTGCCATAAACAAACATTTGGAAAAATTGCCACCACAGTTGTATTAGATAAAGATGAAAATTTGTCATGATCAGGGTTGCAATGACATCGGAGATGTCATTGCAACGAAATGACGCCATTACCTATTATACTTGCAGCATTATTTCTCAATATGAAATCGTTCTCGAGAGCTTTTTCCTCCAATAGTCGCCTCGGTGTTTGTGAAGTTAAAACGGAGTCTGTAAGAGCGTTATCGGGATGGTCTGGGATAAAGTTTTTATCGTTAGAAATACAGTAAAACAAGGAAAATCTTGTTGTTTAGCCGCTATCTGTAGAAAACGAAGCGCTTTTGACATGCAATTTCACCTCATAGTAGGTTCAATCTTTTTAAAAATGTGTGTGAGTTATTTGTACATTGTATAGGTAATAGCATGATTTGTAGTGATATTTGGCATAAATATCACGAGTGATATTTCAAAATTGCTACAAAGAAGGATTTCATTAGTATGTATCATGGCGCTCTTGTTAGCGGTTTTGTAAACATTTCGGTCTACTTTAACAAATTAGTTAATTATTTGAACCACTTGATAGATTTTTTAAAAAACATTAAGATTCTTCTCGTAATTCAAAGTGAGAATTAGTCAGCCACTTCTTCACTTTCAGATCAATCGCTGATCCTATCTGCCATACACTGTTCTACGAGCGAAGATGATCCTAGAAAGTTAGGCGGAAGTTTATTCTAATCGATTCCCGATTGGAAATAGCCCATTGCAGCCCAGTGCCCAACGATAAAAAAAAACTTTCCCTTATAAACGGAAACCCATCACGTGCTTGGCAACCATTGTCTCGAGTGAATGTAACTTGATTATTACGCCGACTTCAGGTTAAAATAGAAAATATTTATCTCTCCAACATACTCATAAAAAAACATGAAACGTCTTTAAAAGTTGGCTTTGCCCAAATTTTCTCTTGCAGCCCAAAAAAATCTGAGTTGCCCAAAATTTGGGGGGGCTGCAGCCCCCCTCGCTCCCCCGGCCCGTACGTCTATGTTCAAGATGGTGTTAATGACTTGTATGTTGGCGTTAATGAAAGTGTATTTTTCTCTTTTGTATACCAAATGACGCATATGAATGCCAAAAAGTGTTATTGAATGTTGATTTAAAAAAATGCAAAATACGTATTTGAATCTGGTTCATGCGCAAATGTCTTTTTTTTCGTTAATGAATGTATCTCCGCACTATTGGTCTATAATATCATTGTAAACTAAAGCTACAAAGCCAAGGGTTGCACTAAAAAAATTTGGGGGCTTACCTGTGCTTAAATTTCTCCAGAGGCTTGCTTTCAGATTTTCCATATATATATTTGTCTGTAATTTTTCCCGGGACGTTCTTACAGACAACTTAAAGAAGTGGTTCTAGGTCTCCTATGGCATGTAACGCCCTCAATTTTTCCAGCGGAATGCTTAGGAGTAAAGCTCTAGTTACAACTGATATTTTTTTCAGAACGGTCTTTCTACGGAAATTATTCGATATTAGATTCTCATCAGGAGCCCATATAGATTCAGGAGCCCATAACCCGGAGCATTCAACTGCCATAAATTCGTGCAACGGCGTTTTCACAAGTGAGTTTATTTTTAGATAAGCTTTTCCCTTTTCGCTTGGACCTTTTCACAGTCGGCTATTTCGAAGATGATTTCGATTTAATTCCCTTTGCTTGAATTATGCGTTGTCGCCGATGAAGTAGGCGTCCTGGCTAGGTTTTGCAAATCTTGCTCTGAACTGCTAGTTTCCGTGTAAATACTGAAATTGTCGCTTGAAGTACCGTAAGAAGACTCCTCTGAAGATTCCTCACGTGTGTGCGCCATGTTTTTTTAAATGTCAAAAGTTGTCCTAGTTACGTATTAAAAGTTTATCATTGATGAAGCAATTGCTAGTAATTGGCTATTCGAAAGCAATTCGCGGGAAAGGCTTATCTAAAAATAGACCTACTTGTGAAAACGCCGTTGCATAGGCGCAATATGGAAGTTAGACGCGGCTCCTGATTCTCATACAAACACTGTAATTTCTCACGCGTTTGCCTACTCGTCAACATGACGTCTAAAACCGTGACAAGGTCTATATATGAAGAATTAGCCGGGGGCTTTGAGCCAATAAAGAACAGCGAAATATTTTGAAAGAATAATGAAGAAAAATATGACATCAACGGAAAGTCCCGTTTTTAAAAACTCAAAGACGTGAATTTAGGCTATTCACTCTATGCCGGATAGCTTTTGCGCTGGCACGAAAACCATGCCGGATATAGCGCTTCTGTTCACACATAAGAATGGTGATTTTGGCGTGACTTCTTTAACGGGTCGAAGCTGCGCCACGCCGATCCGCAGTTAAAGTGGAAAGTCACATTACAGATGGGTTTTCCTATTAAACCGGAGAACGTTTCGTGACGGCACGAAAATCTATCCAGGACAGTGTGAAAATAGCCTTAATTTTTCGTCTCCCCATCATTTTGGCAAAGGAAAATGTGGAAAGACAGTCACCTGTTTAATCTTTATATGCAGAAAGCAGGTTGATATTTTCTGTGTGCTTTTTTGTTTTTTTATGGATGCAGAATTTCAAGAGATGAATGAGTCAAATAATTACACA